AGAGAGAGAGAGAGAGAGAGAGAGAGAGAGAGAGAGAGAGAGAGAGAGAGAGAGAGAGAGAGAGAGAGGTTGAATGGCAAACTGCGGCCGTGATCTATTTCGCAGTTGGAATGATTTTGTAAAATTTATTTAGCGTTTTCCTGGAAAGATCACAACAAAATCTATGAGTACTCCAATTTCAGGTTTTTTCATGCATTCCTCTGAGAGTGAAAACTCACTGAATTTGGAGTACTTTTTAAGTTGGCCCACACATGGCTGAGTGGCAAAAATGGAAAATGTGCCGAATCGGCGCAACAATCATTTCTTGGTCTAAATGATTTTTTAAAAATGTTCTAATGCTTTTCCTAAAAAGAACATGACCTCATATATGGATTCTCAAAATTTCAGATTTTTCTACGGGTTCCTCCGAGCACAGAAAATTGCCAAAGTTCCCTCTTGCAAAACGCCTGTTTCGTTGCGCCTGACGTCCCTGTTTTGAAAAGACGGGCCTCAATGCCTGGGCCTGAGGGCCCTTACCCCATCCCCACTTCTTTTTGGGTCCAATTCCACCCGAGGACCGGTCCTTCCTTTTTCCAAAAGTCCCAGTTCTACCAGAGCTAGCTGTAGGTAGTCCGCAATTTTAGCAAGGACCGGTTTCCCAATTTTTTTTGCCCCCTAAGAACCCACTTTGGGTGCTGGTCGCCCGCCACAAAAAATGCGACACCTTGACACAGATGCCGAACCCAGTAGACCGCAGTTGGAATGATTTTTTTAAATTTATGTAGCGTTTTTCCTGGAAAGATCATAACAAAATCTACGAGTACTCCAATTTTCAGGTTTTTTCACGGATTCTTCTGAGTGCGAAAACTCACTGAATTTGGAGTACTTTTTTAATTGGCCCAAGCCTGGCTGAGTGGCAAAAATGGAAAATGGCTGAATCGGTGTGACAATTATTTCACAGTCTAAATGATTTTTTGTAAATGTTCTATTATTATTTATGGAACGAACACAACCTCATCTATGGATTCTCAAAATTTCAGATTTTTGTGCATGTTTGTCTGAGCACAGAAAACCGCTAAAGTTGCCTCTTGCAAAACGCCTGTTTCCTTGTGCCTGACCTCCCTGTCTTGAGAAGACGGGGCTCAACGCCTGGGCCTGAGGGCCCTTTTGCAGTTCACATGCCCTGACTTCTTTTTGGGGTCCACTTCTACCCGAGGACCGGTCCAATGCCCCCCACTTCTTTTTGGGGTCCTTCTACCTGAGGACCGGTCCTTCGTTTTTCCAAAAGTCCCGGTTCTACCAGAGCTAGCTGTAGGTAGTCCGCAATTTTGGCAAGAACCGGTCCCCCAATTTTTTTTGCCACCTAAGAACCCACTTTGCATCCTGGTCGCCCGCTGCCAAAAATGCGCCACCTTGACACAGACGCGGAAGCCCACTATACCGCAGCCTAAGGCCTGCAAACTGCCAAAATAGAACACCTGGTCATGATGGCTGTGTATGGGGAAAGTTTCAGTCCAGATGCAGCCATTATGGCCTGCTGTTCTATTGGGGTGAAGATGGTAGTAGTGTAGTGGTAGTGGTATGAAGAGTAGTAGTAGTAATACCAGGAGTGGTAGCACTGTAGAGGTGCTGTGGAGGCGGGGGAGATGGTGATGGAGTGGAAACAGAAAAAAAGAGGCCTGTTTTGGCCGAAGGCTTTTCATTTCTAGAAAGGCCGGAACCAGTTCCACCAGTTTTCCAAAGGCTGGTACCAGTCACTTTTACGCTCGGCAAAATGCATTTTTTGGTTTCTCAAAATAGGTCTGGGTGAACTGGTGGTTTCATGGAATGAAAGGTGATCGAAAATGGGGCAACCCTTTTCCCAGAACCGAGGATCATCTACAAGTAGGGATGATATTAAAACCGAGGAGTGATCGTAAGACAGGACCAGAACTAAAAGTAAAACAGAACGGATCTGGAGGAAGATCCATTCTTGTTTGAAACACGGGATACAGCAGCGTGTCTTTGATTATCATTTCAAATACGGGATACCACACGCACAAACGACAAACCTTTTGGATTTTTTTCCTGCTTTTCTGTGTTCTATTTTATCTTGAGAAATCATATTGTGTTCCCTGGTCGTTCCTTCTCGTTTTCAAAAACGAACGACGTCCGCACGACGTCCGCAACTCTGCCGAGGCTCTACCCAGCCTCTGCCGATCCTGCCCAGGTCTTCCATGGATTCAGGAAGAGCAACAAGTTTGGCTGGGTGGGGTGCTGGTGGTCTGAACCACCATTACCTTTTCCACCGCTCTCGTTCCTTGGAGGCCTTCCCTTCTTCAGTTGGTCTGTTGGGGTGAAGATCCGCCCTTGGATTGGCGATCCAACAGCCACATGTTTTTTGTTGTTTTTGCAGGCGCTAACATTACTCTCTGGTAATGATGGCGGCCAAGAGTAATATGACCAAGAACCATCCTATCATAAGTTAGGTGTGAAGAATGAACGATTCTGACAAGTGGAGGAGGTGGATTCAACCACCATTACTTTTCCTCCACTCTTGTTCCCCAGAGGCCTGCCTTTTTTTAGTCGGTCTGTTGGGCTGATGATCCACCCTTTGATTGATGATCGAATAGCCACATGTTTCTTGTCCTATTTGCAGGGGTTGGCCTGACTTTCCAGGCGATGGTGACAATTTAAGCACAAATCGCCATGGTTGAAAGTTGGCATTCAGAATGCCAAGGGATAGTGACTCAAGCAGCATGAATGAACATGATAATCAAAGGGAGAAACCTGAAAAGTCTTGGAATCCGCCTTCATGGATGTTTGTTACATGTCTGTTGGTGTTCTGATCGCGTACAGACATGTGCTTTCAGCATCTGAGTTCTATCTTTCTGCATGGCTGGTCGTATTGATTTTCTTTGAGGACATTAATTCTCTCTCCCTCTCTCTCCCTCTCCCTCTCTGTCTCTCTCTCTCTGTGGTTGTGCATTACCATCCAAAGTTGTGTGGACTACTATCCAAGTGTGAAGAACGGAGCATGCTTATTGTCATGACCTGCGTACCTGGTTGTATTTGTTTGTTTACTGTGCTGCAAAGAGCAGCAAGGGCATTGTGCTACCATGTGGTGTGCCAAATTTTCGTGGTGGAAACTGCAGGCAAGGCCAGCGAGGTCTTTGCCAGCTTGCATCACCAAGATTTGTGGTGTTAAATTTTCATGATAACTGGAAGACCAGTACAGCCCTTCCTTATCTTCCCGTCCACAATGTAAAAACTTGTGGCACCATATTGCCCCTGAGTTTACTCATTACTTGCATGCCCAGCCTACATGATGAGCATAGGCCGTGGCAGGCCTGTGTCCACCTGGTGAAGGTTTGATATTTTGAAATGATGGTTGTGCAGCCTCGTCTGTTGAATGCACTGATTGATCTCCTGAAACTAGGTGCACCAGGTTGACAGAGTGAATTGATTTCTGGTGAGATGTGTATAGGGATGTTTGTATGTGTATGCTTGTACATGTATATGCTTGTGCACTACGATGGCGTTTGGGCCTTCCTTGGTGGATACAGTGTGCCAGTGTTCTTCATTGTGTTTGGAGTAACTTATCTATGCAACTGACTTTTCCTTGTAGGCTGACAAGGTCGATCTCGATGCGGACCCCCTGCGAGGAAAGAACGGACGGGACCTCTCACCGCTGGAGAGCATCCCCAGTGCCGTTCAAGCGGTGTCTACTGGCTGCTTTGAGGCAGGTAAGCAGTGCCTTTTTCAATCTTGAAATTGTGATGGCAGCTTTTTGCAGCGGTAATGTTGTGCCCTTTGAACAGGTGGTCATTCTTGGAAAGAACTCTATTCTGGAGGGGGATGGGTCCTTTATAATGTCTGCCGGCATGTTTGTGTGCACATCTGTGTCTGTGTGTCTGTTGTGTGTGTTGTTGCTATTCACAATTCCACAAAAAGAGCATGACTGTGCCACACTGTTTCGTTAGACTGTTACCAACTCGTCAGGAGGTTGGTACCACTCTCTGTGCGCGCGCGTGTGTGTGTGTGTGTGTGTGTGTGTGTGTGTGTGTGTGTGTGTGTGTGTGTGTGTGTGTGTGTGTGTGTCACATGTCCATGAACAGCTAGGCATGACGTGGGTCGAAGAATCACCAATGCAAAGCAGTGGAAGACTGAAAAATGACCTATCTGACTTGTTAGATTCATGACTCGACACACTCACACACCATCAGCATGTCGAAATGGAGACGAAGTGTGGAAATAGCCAGAAGAAAAGAGGGACACTCCAGTGTGGGAGACGGATAATAATACTGTCTCTATGGTCCGTGTCAAGTCTGGATCTGGGCTCATAGCTTCCCTGAAATACTACCCAAGTCTCTGACCTCTCTCTCTCTCTCTGTGGAAATACGGAAGAGGTGGATCTGGAGGTGTGGAGAAGAAGAGAAGTGGAATAGTTGCCAAGTGTCTGACCTCTCTCCTCTCTGGAAGTAGTGCAGAGGATGCGGATATGGAGGGGTGTAGAAGAAAAGAAGAATCTCCTCTCCCTTTGGTCTGGGATGTGCCTGTTCTGACCAATGCACTTACCGGTTTGCACGTTTAGGCTGTTGTTAGGCCCAGCAGACTTTCGTCTGCTGCTGGGCTGAACCAGGTTTGTCCTGTAGTGCCTGACTGTGGCATACTGCGTAGCCACACGGGCCCTGTAGGACCCGTCCCGGACATTCAGCCTAAAAGCCTAAAACTTAGGATCTACAAGCCCCGGTCGTTTCAGCCTGAAAACTGAAAAACGAGGGCCTGCAGGCCCTACGCCGTTTCAGCCTATTTCTGGGTCTTTCAGACCCAGAGTTTTTCCAGCCTGAAACGGAGGGCTATTCTTAGGCCCTGGGCTATTTTTAGGCCCTCATTTGTTTCGACCTGCCCTAAGATTCAGGCACGAAAACTGGGTTTCGGAACAGGCTATTTCTGGCCTGTTCCCACGCCAGCTCGAGCAGGAGCTGCAGCTGCAGCCCCTGCCTCCCTGCGGCATTATTGGCAAGACCACGAGCAGGAGCTGCAGCTGCAGCCCCTGCCTCCCTTCGGCATTATTGGCAAGAGCACGAGCAGGAGCTGCAGCTGCAGCCCCTGCCTCCCTTC